CGACGAGCTTTGTCCTCACGTAACGCCCAGGCTACACCCCCGTTTCTCACTAACCCGGGACCTGCGTGAAGGGCTCATGTGCGATGCTCCTTTGCGGTCCCAGGGGCTGGCCGGACACGGGTGGGGTCGCAGCCTCAGGGTTCGGAGCAGCACGGAGCACAGGCCACCTGGCAGCTGGGATTTTCTGTGGAGAGAACTTCAGGCCATTCCATCCTCCCCCGGGGTGACCGATGGCAGATAGCCCCCCATCACCCCGATGACCCACCGCCTTCATTGGAATTGAGGTTTAATTAACTGACACTTCCTTTTTTTAAAGAGTAACGTTTCTCTTTTTTAAAATATTTTTTTTATTGATCCCAGAGAGGAAGGGAGAAGGAGAGAGAGAGAGAGAACCACCAATGATGAGAGAGACTCATGGATCGGCTGCCTCGTGCACGCCCTCTACTGGGGACTGAGCTCAAACCCAGGCATTTGGCCCAACCGGGAATGAACCGTGACTTCCTGGTTCAGAGGCGGACGTTCAGCCACTGAGCCGCGCTGGCTGGGCCAGGGCTTCACTTCTCTGTGGCTGCACCAGGTCATCGCCATCGCGAAGGCGCAGAGCGTTAAGCTTGAATGTCAGCACAGGCCTATCTGATGAGGTGCGAGGTCTGAGTGATGTAGAGGCTGTCAGGGACGGGAGAGGAGGAAAAGCCCAGGGGGACACACGGAGCAGGATGTGCCAAGGCCCTGAGGCACCGAGAGTGTGATCAGGATAAGGAACCGAGAGGAGGATCACACAAAACAGGGCACCAGAGGCCTGGAGGCCATGGTGAGGGTGATCATGCTCACTTGGCCGTGGTAGTGAGCGGGGGTGGCGAAGCATCTCATTAGAAGAGTTGTCCATGAAAAACTGCTTCAAGTTTTCATTCAAGAAAGCTCAGTGCTTCTATGATTCCCATGTTCTATGAATAAACTGTGGCCTCAATGGTCAGTGACCTGGCCTAGGTCGCGGGGAGGGCACGCCTGCTCTGCTCACCGCTGCCCTTCTGCGTGGAAGAGGAGAGCATTTGAAAGTGCGTGGCTCCGTGGCTGAGCGTCGACCTGTGAGTATGTTTCCATTCAAGAAAGCTCAGTGCTTCTATGATCCCCGTGTTCTATGAATAACTGTGGCCTCGATGGTCAGTGACCTGGCCCAGGGCGCGGGGAGGGCGTGCCTGCTCTGCTCACCGCTGCCCTTCTGCGTGGAAGAGAAGAGCATTTGACAGTGCGTGGCTCTGTGGCTGAGCGTCGACCTGTGAACCAAGAGGTCACGGTTCGATTCCCATCAGGGCACAGGCCTGGGTTGTGGGCTGCATCTCCAGTGGGGGGCGTGCAGGAGGCAGCCGATCCATGATTCTCTCTCATCATGGATGTTCCTATCTCTCTTTTCCTCTCCCTTCCTCTCTGACATCCATAAAAAAAAATATTTTTTAAATAAATAAGTGTTGGGTCCCAGTGACATTTTGTTTCCTCTCAGGAGCGACTGGGTGACCTCCTACAAGGTCATGGTGAGCAACGACAGCCACGCGTGGGTCACAGTGAGGAACGGGTCCGGGGACGTGGTGAGTCTGCCCCGGGGCCCTCGGTGCCGCTGGGGGCTCTGCAAGGCGGGCAGGGTGTGCCCCTGTGTGTGCCCCGTGTGTGTCCTGTGTACCCCGTGTGTGCCCCCGGTGTGCCCCGTGTGTGCCCTGGATGTGTCCTGTGTGTGCCCCGTGTGTGTCCTGTGTACCCCGTGTGTGCCCCCGGTGTGCCCCGTGTGTGCCCCGGATGTGTCCTGTGTGTGCCCTGAGTGTGTCCTGGGTGTGTCCTGGGTGTGTCCTGGGTGTGCCCTGGGTGTGCCCTGGGTGTGTCCTGTGTGTGCCCTGGGTGTGCCCCGGAAGTTTGCTGATTTTCTGCCAACTCAGGGCACCCACAGCTCTGATGGGTGACGCCCCCTTCCGTGCCCGGAAGTGCAGCACCAAGTGGCCCTCGTCCAGGGCTCATGTAGGGCTCAGTCTTCCAGTCACAGGTCAGCCCTGGAAGTGGGGGCCCTTGGCCACGCCCCCCAGCTGTTCATTCAGTTGTGACTGAGCCCTGACTTGCTTCAATGGCCGCAATCTTTCGGCCCAGGATCGGCTCCAGGGTGGCCAGTCTGACCATGTCCCCCATCCCCTCGGGTCCGCTAGCTCCTGACTGGCGTCCAGTGTCCGGCACGACCTGACCGTGGCCTCCCTTTCCCTTCTTACCCCCACGCACTCCCGTGTTCCCGAGAGTCAGCGGCCCTCCCTCTGCGCCCGTCTCGGCCCCGCGCCATCACTGCTGCTTCTCTCTAGAGCCCGCCCTTCCCTGCAGCCCTGCACACTCTGCCTTCGGGCCATTCGCACGCACCGCACCCTGAGCCGCCGGGTCCTGTCCTCTGGGAGCCCAGCGCTCTGAGGCTGCCCCCCTGCCGTGGCCCTAGTGGTTTCGGCGGGGACATCTCAGTCCCCCACCCCCGCCCAAGAAGGGGCTTCCTGCGGGCAGGGCCCAGCTGATCGGCTCTCCCCCCCCCCTCCCCCCCCAACGCCAGCACGCGTGTGGAGCTCCTCAGGGAGGCCTGGGTGAGGGAGGGGGTCGTTACCCCTGACCCGCCGGCGCTGAAAGGCTCTCCCTCCCCTGTGTGAGCAGGTGTTTGAGGGGAACAGTGAGAAGGAGGTCCCCGTCCTCAACGAGCTGCCGGTGCCCATGGTGGCCCGCTACCTCCGCGTCAACCCGCAGTCCTGGTTCCAGGACGGGAGCATCTGCCTGCGGCTGGAGGTCCTCGGCTGCCCGCTGCCTGGTGAGCGTGTCCCCCGCGCCCCTGAGGTGCCCCCAAAGGGGAATCAAACAGACCAGGCCCGGCCGGTGTGGCTCAGGGGTTGAGCATCGACCTATGAACCAGTCAGAACACAGGCCCGGGATGCGGGCTCCATCCCCAGTGGGGGGCGTGCAGGAGGCAGCCGATCCATGATTCTCTCTCATCAGTGATGTTTCTATCTCTCCCTCCCTCTCCCTCCCTCTCTGAGATCAGTTCAGAAGGTCTGGGCTGGTCAGGGACCACATTTGGTGGCAGGAACCAGGGCTCACGGCTCGGATACCGCCACGGCCCTGCCCCCACAGCCGTCCGTCCAGCCACTCGGGTCAAACCGACGCCTGCTGCGGCCACAGCCTTGCCGTGTGGTCCCCAGCCCGGGGCACCTGTTCTCTCCAGTTGGAGGGAGACCTGAGCTGGCAGGACCCCTGGCTGTGTCCTCCAGGTGGCGTTTAAAGGGGAAAGCCACCCGGCTGGTGTGGCTCAGTGGTTGGACATTGAACCAGGAGGTCACAGTTCGATTCCCGGTCAGGGCACAGGCCCGGGTTGTGAGCTCGATCCCCAGAAGGGGGTGTGCAGGGGGCAGCCGATCCATGATTCTCTCTCACATCGCTGTTCCCTCTCTCTCCCCCTCTCCCCGCCTCTCTCCACTCCTCCTCACTCCTCCGCTCTCCCCTTTCTGCTAAGTGCTGTGTGGTTTTGTAGTTACAGAAGCAATACAGGCTTATACAGTCACAGGCAGGAAGGCACCAGAAAGTCCATTTATACGGAGGGAGTTGGTTCAAGAGCAGACAGGTCCTCTGCAGACCCCGGAACCCCAGGCCCCAGAGGCGAGCACTGTCAACACCTCCTGACTATGCTATTGGGGCGCTTCCAGCCCAGCACCAGCCCCCCAGCTCCCCCTCGAGTAGCGGGTGAGGGGGCCCTTCACCGTGTGACGGGACGTCCAGGGAAACTGGCTCCAGCATTGGTTCACGCGTTTGCTCCTGGTGTTTTGGGGTTCTCCCTGGCCTGTGCCCTGGAGAGATTCTCACTCACTCCTCCGCTGTGACGTGGAAGTCCTTCCCTCCAACCTGCAGCAGTAAGAGTGGCCCGGGATGCGATGCTCTGATTGGCTCAGATCCGTCACGTGGGCCTCGGGAGCTGGGGGTGTGGGGCCTGTTTCTGAGAGGTAGAGAATGGGGGGGTCCCCAAATGGCACAAGGCTTCTGTTAGGAGGGATGGCAACAGGTCCTCTGCAGACCCCGGAACCCCAGGCCCCAGAGGCGAGCACTGTCAACACCTCCTGACTATGCTATTGGGGCGCTTCCAGCCCAGCACCAGCCCCCCAGCTCCCCCTTGAGTAGCGGGTGAGGGAGCCCTTCACCGTGTGACGGGAAGTCCAGGGAAGCTGGCTCCAGCGTTGGTTCACGCGTTCGCTCCTGGTGTTTTGGGGGTTCTCCCTGGCCTGTGCCCTGGAGAGATTCTCACTCACTCCTCCGCTGTGACGTGGAAGTCCTTCCCTCCAACCTGCAGCAGTAAGAGTGGCCCGGGATGCGATGCTCTGATTGGCTCAGATCCGTCACGTGGGCCTCGGGAGCTGGGGGTGTGGGGCCTGTTTCTGAGAGGTAGAGAATGGGGGGGTCCCCAAATGGCACAAGGCTTCTGTTAGGAGGGATGGCAGTGGACTGAATGCCAGGTAAGCAACTGAGTGTCCGCCACACTTGCAAAGATTCCCATTTCTGCATGCAGCGTGGCATTCATTCATTAGCTCATTCATTCATTCGCTCATTCATTCATTCATCCTTCGACTCATTCACCCATCTATCCATCCATCCACACATCCATCCATCCATCCATCCACACATCTATCCATCCATCCATCCATCCATCTACACATTCATCCATCCATCCATCCACACATCCATCCATCCATCCATCCATCCATCCATCCACACATCCAACCATCCATCCATCCATACATCCATTTATCCATCCATCCATCCATCCATCCATCCTTCCCTCCATCTATCCATCCACACATCCATCCATCCACCCATCCTCTACCCATCCATCCATCACCCACCCATCCACCCATCCATCCATCCATCCATCCACCCATTCAACCATCCACCCATCCACACATCCACACATCCTCCCATCCACCCATCCACACATCCACACATCCACACATCCACACATCCATCCATCCATCCATCCACCCACCCATTCAACCATCCACCCATCCACACATCCATCCATCCATCCAGTGCTGACAGGGTGCGAGGCACACAGGTCACACCAACTCAGACCACAGGAAACCGCGGGGGGCGGGGCCAGTACGTTTCTGTTTTCTGGTGAAGAAACCAAGGCAGAGACCCCGTGCGGTGTCCAGGGCCACACAGCCCGTAAGTGGAAGAGCAGAGATCTGAGCCCAGGCGTCCTGGCTCCAGGCCCACGCTCTCCATCACCAGGTGATTCTGACTCATAAGAAGCTTCTAGAAAGGTTCTCTCCCCTCTGTGGGATGGTGGAGATGGGCTGTGCCCCCCCCCTTGAGTCAGGCGTCCAGCAGAGCCCCCACAGGTACCCGGAGACACCTAAGAACTCAGACCGTGTTCCTCTCTCTAGACCCAAACAACTATTACCACCGGCGCAACGAGATGACCACCACGGATGACCTGGACTTCAGGCACCACAGCTACAAGGAGATGCGCCAGGTGAGAGCCGGGGGGTCAGCGCGAGAGGGACGCGCCCGGGAAGAAGCACATGGGTTCTCCCTTCGGAGACGCGGGTGACGAGCTAGGGACAGAGCCGGAATGAGCACTCGGGTTGGCAGGACCACGGATGCCTGTGGTTCCAGGTGGAGAAGGTGAGGAGGCATCAGGGGCTCCTCGCCAGCAGGTGGCGGGAATGGAATCCCACCCAGATGCTCCTGACTTAATACTCTAGCTTCTTACACGTCTCTGTGTGCGAGGGATTCGCGGACGTAAGGGTGTCGGCGGTGTGCAGAGTCCCAGGAGAAACAGGATCTAGGACAGTGATGGCGAACCTATGACACGTGTGTCAGAGGTGACACGCGAACTCATTGTTTTGGTTGATTTCTCTTTGTTAAATGGCATTTAAATATATAAAATAAATGTCAAAAATATAAGTCTTTGTTTTACTATGGTTGCAA